TCAGAGCAGCTGATGAGGATTCTAAGGAGCACTTGAGCAAGCAGGATGTCTGAGTAGCAGATACCAAGCATCCATTTCAGCCACATCAGCAACCTGTGCTGTCTGTAAAGTGGAAATCACTTGTGGGAAATTAATATTTTATGATAGTCGAATCTTTACCTGGAGTGTGTTTTGGACACTTAACAGCTTAGAATAATTTAGAACCAAATTTGACGTTGTCACGATAGATGCCCAGTATATTTTCTTAGGGATGAAATTTATGCAATAATCTGTAAGGAGTATAAAAATGTGATTTTTTTCCCCCACAAATTATGATCAGTTTAATACATGTTCAGTTCATTCTGTGGATAATAATAGCATCTAAAATATAGCTTGTATAGTTACAATACAGGATAGTTTGGTTTTCATATGAAGATAGTATCTTTTGGCCTTTGGAAGGGAGAAAAAAGTTATACAGAATCAAAAAAAAAAGTTATACAGAATCAGAAAAAGTGGTCCATCGAGTATGGCATTCTGGCAAAGAAAGACATGGTTTAAGTTGTCCGACTTGATTCCAACCAGAATTATCATACTTGCTGTCTCTGTCTCCTCGCCTCCAGTCTTTCCTCAATTTTCCTAATGTTTCTAGTACTTTATTCCCATCACTTCCGTGAGACATCTCTTAACCATGACACCAATGACGTCCATTCTGCCAAATCTAATGTCATTTCTCAGTACTCATGTCACTTGCCTTCCTCACCGCCTCTGACTAAACTGATCCTCTGGACTTCTATGATACCATGTATATTCTATTTTCCTTTTTCTTCTAATTGCTACTTCTCAATCTAGTTTACTGGTTCCTTGTGTTTTTGTGTAACTTCCAAAAGTTGAAGTGTCCCTAGAGTTTGGTCTGGACTCTTGTGCTTGTCATGTTGCATTCTCTGCCTAGGTGAGCTAATCCAGTTGATTCATGACTTCAAAAACCATCTATTTCCTGATGACTTCTCAATTCATTATCAGGTGTTAACTTCTCTTCAGAACCCGACTTGTGTAAACCTCACCATATACTCTTGAATGTCTAATTGGCATCTCAAACTTGGTGCGTCCCTCTTCCGTCTACCATCTGGTTGCCCTGTCAAGCCTGTTTTCTGATCTTCCTGATTCCAGTTAATGGTTTCATTTTCCACCCATTTGTTAAGATTGAAAAAAATCTTTTTCGAATCTCCTTTTTCTTCACACTAACATCCAGTTCACCAGTAAGTCTTAACCACCTTAGTCTAAGACATAATCTTCTTTCCTAGACCATTAACACAGTTCCCTCATTGGCCTCCCTGGTTTGACTTTTTTGCTGTTCCTTCTTCATAGCCAGGTGTGATCATTTAAGAACAGTAGAACAGATCCATGCTCACCATCCCTCCCTTGAGTTTCCCATTGTAACTGTAATCAGTATACATTAAATTACATTCTCGGCCTTTTGGCTCTGATGTAGTATTGGAGCTTCACAGGTGGCACAGTGGTAAAGAATCCACCTGCCAGGAAGGAGACACAAAAGACACAGGTTCGATTCCTGGGTTGGGAAGATCCCCTGGAGTAGGAAAAGGCAACCTGCTTCAGTATTCTTGCCTGAAAAATTCCATGAGCAGAGGAGCCGGCGGGCTACAATTCATGGGGCTGCAAAGAGTCGGACATGACTAAGTGACCAAGCACACATTAAATAACAGGAGAACATGAACTTCTTACCATGACCCTTGGGTACCTTTCTGAATTCAGCATCTATTACTATTGCCTGTGTTTCATCACACACAAGCACAATAGTTTTCTTTCTGTCTCTTGAGTGTCCTTGGCTCATATTTCAGGACCTTGAGATTGCTTTTTTCTGTTCCCTCAGGTATTCAAATGACTGGCCCATTGTTATACACAATGTCCATGTCCCCCCCAAATGCATATGTTGAAACCTAATGTGAAGGTATTTGGAGAGTCTTTGGAGGTGATTAGGTCATGAAGGCAGAGCCCTCATGGGTGGGATGAGTCCCTCTACTTATAAAAGACACCCCAGAGAGTGTGTTTGCTCCTTCCTCTATGTGAAGACACAGTGAGAAGACTGCTGCCTATGAATCACAAAGTGAGCTCTCACCAGACACCGCATCTGCTGGTGCTTTTTTTCTGGGGCTTTGCAGCCTCCAGAACAGTGAGAAATAATTCTGCTGTTTGTAAGTCACTACATCTATGATATTCTGTTGAGTGCGTATGTGTGCTCAGTCATGTCCAACTCTTTGTGACCCCATGAACTGTGACCCATCAGGCTTCTTTGTCCATGGAATTTTCCAAGCAAGAATCCTGGAGTGGGTTGCCATTTCCTACTTCAGGGGATCTTCCCAACCCAGGAATCAAAACTATGTCTTCTGGATTTCAGGCAGATTCTTACTACTGCACCACCAGGGAAGCCATGATACTCTGTTACAGCAGACCAAATGGACTAAGACACTCTTTCTTATTTATCTTCCCAAAAGACACCTTCCATAGACACTCTGGCTAATACTCTCCTCCAGCTCCCATTCTGTAGTCCTTCTCTATCTCATTACCCTGTTTTCTTTTATAGCAGTGATCATCATCTGCTTTTATCTTATTTTTGGATTTTATTTGTTTACATCTTTACTGTCTATTTCACTTTCTTCTAGAATGTTAAATCCTGTAGATCTAATAGAGCTTGATTTGTCTTATCCATATCTCCTTTATTTAAAATAGCTTGTGGACCAATATTCAGAATTTTTATTAGATAAATGAATGAATGTTAATGGAATGTTAATGAATGCATACTACCTTTACTTGGAGGTAGGGAATTGAAGAGATTACATTTGTACATATAAATTTCTAAAGTTTAAAAGCCTGTTTCTTCTAGTTTGAAGTTACTTCACATATACTTCAGTTTTGGGAGTTTTGCTTTGTTTCCTGTTGAGCCTTCTGTGACTGTTAGAGCATTATACCTGATGGACTGTGAACTGTTCTAAGCATGTTTTACTTGTACTTTCAAAAACTATTTTAACTCTACATTTACTTTAGCTTACTGGATCCAGTGGTCTGAGATTAAGTTATTAGTTGAGGTTACATTAATTCATGCATTTTAGTCCCTTCTTCAGGAAAAAGAAGAAAATAGATTCATTTACTCTAATATAACTTACCCAGAGGTACCCAGTTCCATTCTACTATTAATAATTTAAATGTACTAAAAGGGAAGTAACTTGGGGGGCACCATTCTTTGACATTATTCACTAGATAATTAAGTGTCTATATTAGGTTTCTAAGGATTCAAATATGATACAAGACTTTGATAGATTTTTGCATTATATTTACTCTTTCCATTTGAGGGAAATACATGGAAATAAAGTACAGTGTAATGAGTATTTCAGTGAATATAAATTTTTCAGTAAATGGAAATATTTCAGGAAATTTGAGTATTTTCTGGAGAAGTTCTGTCACATTTGTAAGTGATCTTCATACTTTTTTTTTTTGGAACTGGAGAAGATTCTTGTATATTTTGTGTTCCATCATTTCAGGGAAAAGCTGGAGATTATAAATGGTGAGTTCCAAAGCCAGTATGAAGATATAAATATAACATTTGTACTAGTTAGATGAGAAATCTACAGGGCAAAGTGCTGAATTGAGAATTAGGAAATTAAGGCACTAATCTCAACTTTGTTTCTAAGTAGTTGTGCTATTTGAGGAGAATTCTGTAAACTGAGGCTTTGATTTACAATACACTGTTTAGAAAACTATGTAAATAAAGTCTAGATACTCTTTAAGGTCCATTCCAGCTGCAAACTACAAAAATATTAAACTTCCCTGTTTGGAAACTTTTCAGGACAACACTGAGATTCTTCTCTATTATTCATTAAAGACCAGACATGAAAAATTGGAAGTCATTTCTGATTTATTAATAGTGACTTGACTGCAGATTTCTTCTCAACTCAAAGGGTTGAACACACATTTTGGTTATAGAACTGTGAGTGTATATGTGGGGAGCAAGGGGAGTAGCATTTAGATAGACCCACACTTGCCAAAGATGATAAAAAGAATGAATAAACAGATACAGCAATCATTGATTCACAGTGACAAGTGTTAGAGCTAAAAATAAGGTGCTTTATGATCATTGGGAAACAGCTAGAGATAGTGCTTAAAGCACCTTTTTGGGAGTCAGGAGGGAGACTGAGAAGCCTTGTGCAGTGGAATATCACAGACTACAAAAGACCAGCTGACTGTAATTTTGCCCCAATGCCACTACATTGCTACAGTAAGAAAGTAGGCTGCAAGTCAGACAGGTCTCATTATTGATACAGTTCCCACGACTACTCACTTCATGGTAATCCGATTCAGAACAGGACTTCTACACCTAACTCTTTGCCTGGTAAATATTCCATTAGCTACTGGGATATCTAAGTACCTATGTAAGAATGGAAATACATTTTATTGTCTCTGTGGGCTTGTGGCTGAATGAATATTGTAAATAGGTTATTTTAACCTATTTATTAAACCTATTTAACCTATTTATTAAACCTATTTAACCTATTTATTAAACCATTATTCAGCAACATGCACTCTAGTAAGGGATTAAAATGCAATCCTGACAGTTTCCTGGCCCCAAAGCTGTCTTGATTTTACCACCTAGAGAAACTTTTTTCAATTGAGCTTTTAATGAGCTATACCTGTCAATTCACAGATTGTTAGATATTCCTTACCTTGAGACCCTTAACTTTCACAAAAAGAAGAGCTGTCTGCTTGTGGTATAGAACAACTCTGTCTGTGTTTTCTCTTACCACTGTCCACATTGTTAGGACCTCTTCTACTGCTTTCCCATAAGACTTTCCTCATTTTTGTATTTATTGTAGTTTTTGAATGGTAGTTGCATAATTGTGGCAGAATCAGTGAAACTAGGTTCTAATTAAAGTCAAGGTTTTAATTATAGAAATAAATGTCAAACTTGCCTTTTTAAAAATAATTTTTTAAAAATCACTTGGGATACTTACATCGACGATCAAGAAATCTAGCCAGCACCAGGCATTAGTGAAATATGTCTGAAATCCATAAGCTACCCATTTGAGAAGCATTTCCAGGATGAATATGTAAGTGAAGACCTTGTCGGCATATTCTAGCATGGTTTTAATAGTCTTTCGTTGTTCAATGTATATGTCTTCAAAAGCCTGTGAATCAAGAATGCTTTTATTTTACTTGAATGGCTTGCCTGCACCAAATACTTGATAAAATTACAAGTAGTATACTTGGCACAAAGCACTAATTTGATAAATATTGGCTAATATTAGATTGACATGGAACCAGACAAAATCTAAACACTGAAGCTAATGGAAAATATTGGCAAGGAAATGTCAGTATCTTTACTGATTTAGTATATGCTTTCTTCCCTGCCTCTCACCCCATAATCTCTATCTCAATTACTACTACAAAGACATGCTTTTAGAGAAGCAGTGTAAACTCAGAAAATAACTAGAAGTTCTGTTAATGAGGGATAGACTTGGCCTATTCTAACCTTACTTTCGCTGATGCTTTGAATAATCTGGTTCATTTTGAGAGAATAATTAGACATAAAAAAATCCACCATTAGTCCATAAATGTTACTATGACTGTTAGGGAGAACTGGATGGGATTTGAAATGGTAGGTAATGTAGTTACAGAACATCCCTGTAAATGGTTGCCTCAGTGAGGAAAACGTCTGTTAGAAAAACACCAGATAAGAAATTCCATCTGGCTGTTCATGGTTCTGATTTATTCCTTACTGAATTTTGTATAGTTAAACCCTGGGTGCCAAGCTCTGCAAGGTGTAGATGTACCTCTTGTTTTGCTCCTTAAACTAAGGGTATGCTTCTGGTATTTTTCGAGTAAAGCTGTTTCACTGGAACCTGACTCTTGCCAATATGTATCATACTCACCAAAGCACCACTACTGAGAAGGATCATGAAGACAATGAAAGTCTCAAACCAGTTGTGTTCAACGATGCTGTAGCAGGTTTTCCGAAGGTTCCACCAGATTTTTCCTTTGCCTTCTTCTATACTTACTTGACAGAATGGAAACTTTTTAATACATCCTAAAAGATAGCATACATTGTAATAAATTAGAAAAATATATTACTGTCTTCTGTAGGAAGAAATTAACTTTGCTGCTCCCCCCATCCTAGTCTCATATCATCATTTTATATAGTAACTGGCTACTTAATTCCATAGTTATTTTCAGCATCCCTCCTGTGTGGTGAATCATTCTCAGACTTGCATATCAGCCAGCTACCTAGAATTCAAGGAATTACTTTACCAAGAGTTACTTGAGTATAAACAGTTCCATTCTTGAACACTGCATAGCATCTCTCTTTGCCTCAAGGCCAATCATAGATAAGGACACCGCTGAGGTTTGGGGAAAAACTACATGTTCAAATTGTTTATTCATTTTTTGATGTGATCCTGGATTTTTACTCACTTCTTTTCACACGGAAAATCCCTCTGTCTTCCTGGGTATCATCCTCTGTCAGTTTTTCCAAGCTATTTATTTTCAACCTCAGAGCTTTTCTTAGTCACACCTATGACTCATCCTGTCAGTCAGTATCTCTCTTCCTTTGTCCTCCCCCTCTTAGCCTGCATGTTATTTCTAACTTCCATCCACTCTTAGGCTCTAACTGTCTTGAGTTACTACTTATGGGATTCAGTCCAATCACATTGAATCAGCAAATCTTTATTGATTTGTGTGCTGGACACTGGTGGCTGTGAGAATAACTTGGTCTCCCTGCCAAGGCTCTGCAATGCATCTATATCCCCCAACAGCTCTGGTCACAGCACAAATTAACCACATTTGAAACTGTAAGAGATGAGGTATAGTTATTGCAGCATCTATAAATCAAATCACAACATTGCCAGTGAAGTCTGAAGGGATTGCTTTATCAATAATGAGAAGATGTTCCAGAATACCATTTACCTCCTAGGGTTCACTTCTCCACATTCTGGGGAATGAAAAAAGGACATGTCAAATTACCTTATTGTCCAGGTACAGTAACTGCTATAGTATAATCAGGAAATACAGATAAATGAACTTTTTGGAAGAAAAGAGCAAAACAAAGATAAATATGCCTTCACTATTTCTTTGAAATATTTTGTTCAAGTGAGGTATATTTAGTCTCTGTAAGGAAAGAGGGGAGATGGCATTTAACCATATTAGAGCTTGTTTACCTTCAGTAAAACAAGCTTCTGGTTTAAGGTCCTCCTCGGGTTCAATTTCAGCTTGTTCACCTTCTCGAGGTGGAGCAACATCAACTGTACTTCCTTCAGATGAGCTGGTTGCATTTAATTTCTGGAAACAAAACCCCATTGCAAAGATGTGATTTTTCTTCCCTTTTATTCCATCAGTTTGAAAATGCTCTGACATGGTGTGAAAAAAATGGTGATAGTGATAGTATTGGCTCTCTTAACAGTACTGATAATTTTGTACTCATAATTTAACATAAAATCCTATTATTCAAAACAGTGTAACTACTAACTTGATTCAGACGGAAAATGGTTAGAGAGCATTCAGTTTGGGTGATCTGGAAAGGAGCGATTATATTGATTAACTTGTTCATGGTCTCTGTTTGTCTATGGATGCCATGTGAAAATAATTTAATACATTAACACTCAGGCCAAATTGAGAATAGTTTGATAAGTTTGGTATATTGACATTCACAACTGATTATATTAATTAAAGTGCTTCAAATTGTTATTTCCACTCTTCCAATGGAAATTTTCAGAGGGCAAAGAACATTACCAGTTGTCTGTTAACTACAGTCCATGTTTCTATAATTTTAGAAAGGAAGAGCGGCAGATTAACATTAGTCACAGTCATTATATTTCAACCTTGTGCTATATTTTTCTCTGGCTTACATAATTTTCTTCTTACTTTACAAGCTGAAAAATGATGGATCTCTCTCTTTTTTTGAACTGTTTAAATGAATTCAGTACTTGCCAAAGAATTCTAAATGAAATGGAAATTTCTTCATGAATGACACTGCTCAGAATCTGTATAGACTTTCACTAGGAGCATATTCTGAATTCAACATGTGATCAGGCTGTGAATTTTTCCTTTAAATAAATCATTGTGACATGCAACATGGCTAGGAAGAGCCACTTTAGTGTTGCAAGAATAAATATCTTATAAGAATTCTAATACCACTTGGGAAGACAATATGGATGTGGAATTCTTTATGAAAAGTGATGCAAAGATGTGACATATAGCACAACCAGGCAATGTAAAGCTTTTGGAGTGAAAGAACATGGACATGTTAATGGTTTCAAAGGCCCCATTAACTTTAGTAACTGAGAGGTAGGGTCACTCTGCCCTAGCCCTCTGAAAGAGTTAAACATGTTGCTGAAAAATACCTGAATAACTACCTAAACACAGGTTATATTGGAGTATATCTGACTCAAGAGTCTTAGCTTTTTGAAATCACCATGCAAATGTTGGTTTAATACTTTATAATGTAAACACTGAAGAGGAATATCCAGGTGATACTTTTGGTGGTATTACTCGGAGGATGAGGTTAACTATGTCCAGTTAAATATATTATGAAAGTTACCCTAAGTCAAGATATAATTCTATAATAAAATATCTCCATGTGCAAAGTATGCTAAGGAGAGAATAAGCCATCAATTATGGCTGATGGTTCTTAGGATCATTATAGTAAAAAAGTTTTACCATTAAAACCCTCTACTTTTTGTAGAGGTGAAAGGTCAAGACATATTTTCTTCCCTCAGAATTTTTCTGCTTCTTACAGCCAGAATGTCTTTATTTTTGTAAGAAAATCCCAGGAAAGCTACTGCTGAATAGAATTGCAGTAGCTTCTGGTAAATCCAAGAAAATACTAAATAACTCTTCTCTTTCAGTTTTACTGATTTATAGGTTGGACACTATAATGTTTCATGAGTGGCAGCAATAATATCCACTGTATAAATAAAACCAATAAGAAACCAAATTATTTTGAGGTTAGTTATCAAAAACTTAAAGTTTCTTCTTCCTCTTGGCCAATCCAAGCTGAAGAATTTATTCTGAGCCCAGTCATGATCCCCTCTCCATGAAGCTTTTCTTTATTATGATTTCTCCATGTTAAATTTTATATAACATTTTGTCCATAATACTTGTTTGCTTTGACCAAATATTCTCATAAATATATATGTGTATTTTATATATATACATAAATTGTATAATTATGTACATATATACACATATATATTAGAATATGCACACATACACACATATATATATACACCTAAAGATCCAAGCATAGAATAGACACTAAATAGGCTGAATTTATGAAAAATGAATAAATGAATGAGTGAATGCATTTTGTTATTACTCTTATAGAGAGAATTATAGTGTTTAGATAATTTGATCTCTTCATTTTGATACACAACTCAGTTGTGGCCTTTACAGAAAATTTAATTTTATTAGAAAATGCATTTTCTTAATGAATAAAAATTATTTAATTAATGATATTTTAGTGATAAAAGCGTGTTTCCAAAATGTTTCTCTAAAATATTGGCAGACATTCAATAAAGAAATCTGAAGGAAGTAAGTAATAAACATATATGTATATACACAAAAATACACATATACTTTTCCATTTGAAAACTTTAGAAAATATACTCACCCTTCATTTCTTACTTTACCACTGTTAATACAGTTGTGAAATGTTCAATTTTTTGCATTATAATTCTCTGTCATATATTATACAAGAGTCTTACATTTAAATACAATTTACTTATTTAAAGCAAATCCTTCACAGCACAAGTAATGGTAGCCATTAATCTGAATGACAGTTCTGCTGTTTACCAAATATTGACCTCTGGCTGTATCTTGGTTGTTGGTATTGTCTTTAGATTGTGAACTTTTGTGAATGTGGTTAATATATGTTTGAATATAAATAATTTCAATTTTCTAAATGTGTGTGGAGGTTATGTACATGGTAAAGCAGAGAGGGTCAGTGTATGAGCTAGTTTACTTCTATCTGCCTGGCATTATGAAGCATAGGATGTCTTTTGGAAACAGACAAGGACTAAACAATAACAACAAATTCTGTTCTCAAGTGAGCAAAACCCATTTTACATGAAGAATTGCTTCACTGTTATCCAGGAGTTTGTCTGAATATAAGTATTAACTCATCAATCTTATGCTCTGGAAAACTCATTAAGGAATGTTCAGAGACTTGATGCACCAAAGCTTAAAAAATAGTTGGCAGGCTAGTGTTCTTGTCCCTAAAAAGTCCTTTGTGGAAGGCTCCTTTTCTGTGGAAATTGACATAAAGCTAATCTTGATAGTTGGAGAGTCAGGCTTATTCATGGTGTAGTCTCTCTAGGCCCCATTTTTATCATAAGTAAGTACATACACTTTATCCTATGAAGTTATAAAAATACTGTATCAACTATATAAACATTTTAAAGTTGTGAATTTATCTACATTTATAAATTAAAACTTAGACTGTGTTCTTATTAAGTTGCAGCAACTTACCAATTAAGATACACTGCCTGATAAGTGTTAGTCACTGGAAACATACAGAATTTTACTCCTGTATTTTTAAATTTTAAAATTTATATCCTAGAAAACTACATAAGCATTTAAAATTCTGTACATGGATATGATACTATCTTCACAATCTAAACACTTCTAATTAAATTCAACACTTTGGCATTCATACTCTGATAGAGAGTAATTTGTGATACATTTTATCATAGCCATACCAAAATGACTTCCAAATTTATTTAAAAGCATGTAACTAGTTTAAAAGCAGGTGACTAATGATAAATACAAAGTATAACTTACTTTCTTTAAATTGCCATAACTGTGATACTACAATGATTAAAAAAAAAACAAAAAACCAAAGAAACCTGAAATGAAGTTTTCCACATTAAGGAACTTGGTGACTATACTAAATAACTAAAATTAATACTTGTTCTAAAGTAGTCAGAAAAATATAATGAGGTATATAGGCATAACAGTAGAAAGCTTCCATATAAAGCTACATAGTACAAGCTCATCACTTGTTTTCTTGTACTATTTTCTCCCTACCCGTCCAATATTTTATGACACTTAAGGTAGATTCTTCCATCCCTTGTAGAAACTGCTGAGTCTACAGAGGGATGATGGCTTATGCTCTACAAATGCACACTGGGAAGCAGGTTCGAAGATGCAACATTCTCCAGGCCTAATTCAGCCACAGAAAACATGCCTGGCTGTAGCAGAAGCCTGGCGCAATGCTGTGGAAGCTGCACACTGGTCCAAGAACCATGTTCTTAAAGACATGGTACCTGAATGTCAAGTTCTCAGGGTTAGCTGCAAATATAACTCATAGGAAATGACAGAATGGCCATTTCCCCTCTGATAATATGAACTTATTTAGAAATTCCCCCTTATGGCAAATATGGCTCTGAATTTTTATCCAATTAAATAGTGAAATTTAACTTTAAGAAATAGAAGAGAATGTTAGCAACTGGCCTACTTCCACCGAAATGCGCTCACATTTCATTTATTTTCAATCAGCTATCAAATGTTTGACTCTCACAAATTGCTGTATGATTCAAAAGGCAAAAATAAAAGATTCAGCCATTACAGATTGCCTTTAAAATCTAGCCATTTCTTTCAAAACTTCTGGGTTTCGTCTTGCAAGTAGAAGCAATCTTTTGGTTATACAATCTCTCAGGGCCTTAGTCTGATCTTTTGGATATGCATATCCATATCTTGACTTGGGATATCTCACTTGAAGAACAGGTAGCCACACAGTGAGGCCATGAGGCTGCTATTCCAAGGCACAAAGAACATGACTAAAACCAACAACTCTTTTTTCTGGGCTACTCACTGAATAGTGCAAAATGTAAACCAACTCTCTTTGGTTTGACCTCAGCCTATTTTGTGCAACAACCCTGATGCTCCTTTTATTTTGAAAGAGCCTTGCTAAGAACACAATATAGGAAATTGAAATTAATTATATGGTGGTTGAAGGGTAAGGCAGAGGGGCATCCAGCAGGCAAAGGAAAAGATGGTTTATCTTAGGAAGATATACAAAAATTTCCATCTAAACTTGCCCTACTTTTTATTTTAGCAGAAATAAACTGAAGCACCAAAATCGTTCCCCAAAGGTCGAGATAGGTTTGAAATGTCTCACATTCAGTTTCACAAAGAACATTTGGAAGGCACTGAGAACCCAACAGAAATGGGAAGCTAGAGGTTTTCTCCCATCGTGCTCCAGATTCTGAAAACGGAGCACAGGGCCTTTTCCAGACAGGTATGTACGTGCTTGGGACCTTCGGTCAAGCATCACTTTCAAA